ATTTCTAAGCCACATTCAGACACATTGCAGCTGTGTGATATGTGTCAAAGAACAAGAGCCACTAAGTAATCCAATTGGTTACAGCTGGACAGCATAAAAAAGGGGGCGATATTATTAGCTATATCTGAAAAATCAAGAGTTTGTCCAGGCACTTATGGTGCTCGAAAAAATAGTATTATAAACCTCTTGACTTCGCATGTACCATGGTTAAACTATAATCTCTTCTGGCTGCTTCACGGTGGAGGTCACAATGTCACAGCTAATCTGCAACGCAAGGCCTTATGGCTTCTGGATTCAATTACCCTAGCTACTTCATCTTTTACCTATGCTGTGATTAATGAAATCACTGCTATATGAGCGTCAGCAAAGGTTATACAGTAGACACAGAGTTAAAACACACACATGCCTACACCTATACAAAAATTCAATAGACAAAGTACTTATGCGCCCATTTTAATATTCAATGCAATTTAGGTGAAATGGAAGAGGGCACACTCAAGGTGGCTCATTCATTCTTGCAGACTTCATCTAAACTTGCACAAATTGATAACTTTTATTCCTCTTTGGACCTGGCATGTGCATCCAATTTAAAATTTTCACATAAAAAACAAAAGCATCAGTGAATAAAATGGTATTCATATTTTTTCTTGTTCAGTTTTAAGAAAGAAAAACAAGAAAGTATTCATGGATGAAGCCTTTTATGTCCTTTCTCTTGCTGCCTTTTCACTATTTCAGTGAAAACACCTTAAGGTAATATCTTTTCTCAGTGCCTGCATCCTCCTCAGAAGCTTCATGCGTCCTTCGTTCTTTATATAATTCTCTTCCCTGTCTGCTCGCCCTCAATCTCTTTCCTCTGTCTTCATTTTCTCACTCTCCTCCCTTCCTCTTTTACTTGTCATCTCTCTGGGGCAGGTGTGTGATTAAAAAGCATTAGGGCCACTGCTGGAGACATGTCAAAAGAGCTGTGCAATGGTTGAGTGAGCTGTGCTGAATGGTGCCAATCATTTTATTGATTTTCTTCATCTTTGAGTTTGACAATGTCTGCTAGCTTCAGGAGTTGGTAAGAGGTTAAAGAGGAAGTATGTCCCTGTGTGTGTGTGACCTGAAAGAGCATACATCATCAAAGTGTGTTGAGAAGAATTGTTTTTTCTAATGAACAATTTGTATATGATTATGTGATGTATGTTCATCGTCACTGTTTATAAGTTCTGTCCATCTGTTTGCATGTGAAGTGTCCTGTGCTGCCTGAACTGAATCCTTGTCACAGTAATCCAGTCTCATTTGCATCTGCATCTGCATCCCTGTCCACGTTCTATCAAGCTCAGTCATGTCTGGCTGAACAAGTCACGAGAGAGCCCTGCATGTACTGCAGGGCACAGAACTGCATTTACTCTAGCGTGTGAATGTGTTGTCTCCATCCACCATATTTACAGCCTCCCAACCCTAGTCTCCTGTCTTAAGAGATTTATTGTGTTTACACTCGACCAGAGCTGTCCCTTAGTTATTCTTGTCCACTTTGCATTGAAAAGGTACAAAACCACGCAAGGTGACACCTTTGACAACATATACAGTAGCGACTGGAGGAGAAAGTATGCAGAGGGAATACATACGTCTTGTCATCAAGGGTGGAGTTAAGAGGTTTCAGGAATGCACAACTGTGCTCTAATGATGAGTTTTGACAGGCAACAATGGTGCTGCCATAATTTATAATGGAAAAGGGCAACGTGCAAAATGACCATAAATGTCTTTCGGCAATCATAATGTAGCAATGTTTCAGTAAAGTTATCATGACCTTCCAATATAAGTTTTGTTATGTAGTGTACTACATAACAAAACTTACTGTAGTGAGACCAGAATGCCATTTATTTTATAGAATTGATACCCATGTTTAAAAACTGTGTTATAATATTGTGGAGCCAATTTGATTGCTACAGCATTTCCGGCAGTCACATGGTGATTGCTGTTGCATGGAAAATTGCACACAGACACAGTGGGATTAGCTACAGGATTGCTCAGACATCACAGAAATACCACAGGGGGAGATTACGCATATCTATTCACCACACTTCTTTCATCTTGTGTTTGTATGCACTGTGTGTGACTGTGTGTTAAGTGTAAAAATACGGAAAAAAAGGAGCTTGTGGTTACGTGCGGTCTACAACAGACATGTTAGGCCATTCAGACTAAAATAACTCTTTACTTTATTTATCCTCCTTTCCCTGACAAGACCTAAGGCTATACTTGGATCCCACAGGAGCCCTGCTGTGTGGAAAATTGATGCACTCCTCGATTGACTGTGGACAGGTAATCAAATCAAGAAATGGTCCTTTTCTGCCAACCTTAGAGCTGTGAACGAGGAAGTAAAAGACACACACTCTCAGAAAGGTGCACTACACCGTACAGTCACATGCACATACAGTAAAAGCACACAGGGGTTGCACATTTAGTTGCAAAACTACATCATGAATTGTAATAACATTCATACAACAAGAAAATGGATAAGTGGTAGGTATGTGAATAGTGTGTTTAACTTCTTTTGTCTGTTTGTTGATATGCAGAACTTCAGGATTGCAGTGGAGTTTTTTTCCCATGTTAAAAAGCTAAGAAGCTAAAAAGCATTAATAGGGCTTACATTTCGCAGACATAAAGAATCAAAAATGTATATTTATTAACTTTTATTAAGTTGATTTCTTTTTAATACCTCTTATTAGTCTAAGATGTTGCATGCTGTACAGATTTTAAAGTCCCTTGAGGCCAATTTGTGATTTGTGATATTGAGCTATAAATAAAATTGACTTGACTTATTAATGAGAGTATGCCTGCAGCAGCCGCACCTGTATTTTTTTTATTGGTCTATACCACAGACCATTAAAATGTATTTTAAGCACTTATTTTGCCTTGGCCATACTCAACAGTTGGTTATAACCAGTGCAGTGATCTTATATTAGCTTTACGGTAATGTTTAACAAATCTACAAAACTAAAAAATTCAGAAATTTCTGAACCTCAGCAACAAGATTAGGATTAGATTGAACACATGTTCTCAATTTAATTTAAAACAGTGCACGGACAAAATAAGATGAACTCGCTTTGATAGTGGAAATAATGCTCTTCACATGGGTCACAGATACAAGTACCAAATCACTTCATACTGTATAGTTATTAGAGGCAACAGTTGACAACTTGAGTGACAGGTTATAAAGTTATCAGTGTACTCTCAGACAGGTTAAGGTCAGTGTGAGAGAATCTGTAGGTAATGGTCAGCAGCAGATGTACAGTGCACATGGTCCTCTATCAACTTGTTTCATTAGTAGATCCCACATATACAGTATATTAAAGTGAGTCAGATAATGACGCTACAGTACATTACCATCATATGGATGGTCAGATGCTTGTATGACCACTGGGCGTCCCTTTGCCTTCCCAGCCCCTTTTGTATGAGTCCAGGCATAGGATGACAAAGGGAAGTCCATAGGTCACATGACTGGATGATGAACAGGGAGGAAGTACATTCGTGTATCCTATCAACCCCACAGACATTTCTTAAATCCCTGAAGTCAAGGGGTTAGAAGGAACATGGAAGTTCCTCTCAGCAAACATCTGCAATACATCTGACAGTGATCACAAATGGTGCTGACAAAGGTAATGTGTGAGCCATGATATTGCTCTCAGCACTGTTACCATGTATCCATTTGGTAACATCTACTTCCTGACACCCTCAGTTTTTAAATAAGCATTGATGTTCAAATGTGTGCATTCATGTCACCCAAACCTTGAGCAAACGATTATAAAATGGCTCTATGTTGACAACAAAAGAAGTTAATAACAAATAAATCATGGCTGCAAACAACATTTCACTGACTCAGGTTTGTTCCCGGCCTTGACACATTCTAGACAATGCTGTGAGAGGCAATTGAGAAATATGTTTACAGGGTATCGGGGAGGTTTGTGTGTGCTTGTGTCATTGTTTGTGTGTGTGAGACAGAGAATAAGAGAATGAGACAGGAAAATACGGAGAAATGCATTTTGTATTCATGCAAATTCATTTGGTTTCTAGCTAAGGTATAATGTGGAAATTGAAAACGGAGAAATGCAAAGTGACAAGGGCTCAATGGTGGATGAACACTCCACACAAAAGACAAATACTTGCACGTGTAGACACAAATACACATTAATATACACACAGGACAGAAACACCTACGCATTTGGACACACAGACAAGAGTTCAAATACACTCTTGCTGCCCTTTTATGAAGATATTTTTCTTCTGATGCAACAAATTTTAAAATGAAGACATGGAGAGCTGCTCAGGAATACAGAAGAGAGTGAGATTCCATTGAGTTTCAACAGCGGTGGTGTGTTGTAATACCCTGTTATTTATGCATCTGTCAAAATATACAGAACTACAAGAAAAAATTAGGCCATCCTGTCATCTTCGACTCAGTGGTTTAAAATCCCCACATACCGTGTTCCAATTGGTTTGTATCAAGTATCAAATAAATATAAAAATACAATTTAAAAAATACAAACACATCTGATGTAGCTTTCAGTCCTTTATGTGTACAGTGGTTGTTTGCTGGTCATTATATCTGTGTTTGTTAGCTGGTTTTTATAGTTTTGAGGGAGACAAGGATTATCAAGCAGCTTCATTTGAGGAGTTCATTTGAGCTGTCAGGAAGCTTTGAAAGAAAAAATAAACCCCGCCTGAAGGGAGGGACAGTTTCAAAGGCTCACAGAGTTATATCACAGCTGGCTAAAAATACACTGTGTGACAGCATGTGTTCAGTATAAAGCAGGTAATGATCATGCTAGTCTGGTTGCAGCTATAAAATAGAGTTTGAACCCAATTAACCCATAGTGGTGTTGTTGATTAAACAAGGATTACAGTTTCATTATGCTGTTATCACTCACTTTTTCATTTAAAAACACCTCCTCAAATTTTGGGTAAGTAGGTCAGCCTGGTAATAGCTATGACAGGCAGATACAGGAGATTCCACTCACGTGTGTTGATCTTCTGCAGGGAGATGTGTTTCTCTAGCTGGCGTCTGAGTTTGACCTCAGCGCCGTACTTTCCCGTGGTGCCATTGTCTGCCAGGATGAAGTGGGAGTGGAGACTGTTTAGAACCGTCAACTTGCTCATAGGGTTGGACATGGTCTGGTATGGACGCACCACCTAGCCAAGAGAAAAAAAACATTTAAAAGTTAAGCAAACATCTGAGAAGCCCACGGCTGACAGGGGTATGTAGTAACTTGACAAAGGAAATAAGTGTGTTCTAATTAAAGGAGCATTGCACAGATTTTACACACTCCTCTAGGGCTCTAGACGAAGCTTTCCAAAGTTTGAAAAATTTGAAAAAAAGATTCTTAATAAATAACTACAAAAATATAAAATTTATGTATTCTCTGATGTATTTTCAATAGCTATGGTTGTCTCGGACAGCTGTAGCTCAGGAGGTAGAGCAGGTTGTCCACTAATCAGATGGTTGGTGATCTGAACCCTGGTTCTTCCCTCTGTAAGTGTCCTAGGGCGAGTAACTGAACCCCAAATTGCTCCCTATGCTGTGCTATCGGTGTGAATGGGATTGGTTAGGTTCGGATGAGCAGTTGGCACCTTGCATGAGTGAGAATGGGAGAATGTAAAGCACTTCAAGTGGTCAGAAGAACAGAATTGAGCTATCTGAGTGCAGTCAATTTAAAACTGTACTGCAATTATAGCTCAGAAACACACCCTGATACATTCACACAATTCCATAATTTCAAACAACACATTTATTGCACTGGGATTAAAGTTCAAATAAATTCCGCTCAAAACTGGGTGAATATTTATACAACATTAATGTTTCTCAAAAGCTTGGATTAAGTCTGCTGGGGCAGCGCCTGACAATCTGAGGTAAAGTCATCTACTCATTAGGCCTACAGTTAAGACCAATCAAGCATGAAAAAAGAGCTTCAGCACTTAATAATCTCATTACAGCCACCAACATTAATCGTCTCTGCTTGACTTGTTCAGTAGGACATAGTGCAGCACATTCTGATGAAATTCTAACTATAACACAGCATTGATACCAGAGATTTGAATGAGTCAGCATGTGCTTGGCAGTCTCATATGGTTCTGCCAGCTGTCCAACTCACTTTGAAGGAGTGTGTATCACAGATTGGATTGGCTTACTCAGCATCTCAGTTAATAAACTGTCAACTGCATTCCACAGGCTTTGGCAACTATCGACTGCCACTGACATTTTTCACATATACACATACAAACCAGGGCTAAAGCATGCAAATAGCCACTCTGTTAATATCATATTGTTCTGTTTGTTCGTTCTAAGGGACTTACATCTTTGCCAACAAGATCCTCTTGATTTTCTACAATACCCCATGGAGCAATGCCAATGGTGCAGATCTTTCCCCTTGACTTGGAGGCGTGGTCTTTCAGTGCATCACCCACATGGCGAATCACCCCTGTGTGTATTTGTGGGCGTGTGTGTGCATAAATGTTTGAGAGTTTTTTAGAGAAGGAGAGAGAAACAGAAAACAAAATCAGTTTTGTCACGATCAATAGAGAGGCTCAACTTAGATAATGATACACTCTGCTGTGAAAGATAAACAGAATCTATTAAGTTCAGAAGACAACAGGGAGCAGCCAATGTGAACACACACACAGCTTAAAACACAGATGTAGCTCCAGGCCTCTAGTTGTGGTCCTCAGGGGAGCAGCGGTCAGACCTGGAGCCATCTTATCCCATCTCTCCTGTTGACATTCATTCTTTCTGCACCTCCACCCTCAGCTATCCCTCCAATCCATCCCTCAATCCATTATTCAGGCCTCCCTCTTCCTGCCTCTGCACCCATTCTGTCACTAAATCTTACTTTATATTCCTTTCTGCATTCAAGTGTGGGCACTCTACATCACCAATTCTGGACATTTTTTTCCATTTGTTCATCTCTCCTATAGCTAGAAACAATACAAGAACAATATGAACTCCTACATTGAAGACAATGTGTAACAGCACTGTTAAAAAAATTCCAGTATTAACACTACTGATAATGTTTGGCCAAAGGCAAAGCTAAGAAATCAATGTGTGGTCCAAACAATCCCAATATATAAATTGTCTTTATTGTGTAACACACTAAATATTTTTAATATCAATGCATGGTAATCATTGATATTAAGTTTCAAGATACTACAATGCACTACATGATATGTGATGTGTCAACTATCAATAGCTTACCAAGGTCAGAAACATAGGGGTGGTCAAGTTTACCCATAGAGCATACATTCTATCTGCATGTTAACTCCATATTTATGCATACTTCATGTGCTGTCAATCTGTCAGCTGACTTTTCCCTTTAGTCATTTCAACTAATCATATTTTGTCCTTACACTGTTACCCAATGATCTTGTTACTGTCAGACTCCAATCGGTTTCTTTCTGGACTGCTTTTACACTTCCAACCTTCCACCTCCTACTGTATGTTCCAGTCCACTGAGCTCTTCGTAAATCTGCTCATGGCCGAATTCATCTAGTTACTCGGTATCTCCAGAAAGACATCTCCTTCGTCAACAAAGTCCGATCTTCTCCACAACCTTGATTCTACAGGGCTCTAACAGGGAACTTCCTGTACTGCTTTCAATGGAAACCCACTCCTATGATTGCCCTAATTGCCTCCTTAGTACTTCCTGCCACAGTCTGTCATACAGTTTGTGCACCTTTTGGTTTGAATATGACATCCTTTCATTGACTTTTATTGACACAAATAGGCAGTCTAGACTCCCTGACACTATTTTCATTCAGGATGCATGAAATAATAATTGAGAGCTATCACTTCACCTGTCTGGTCTGACTATGAGTGTCTCTAAGTATAGCTGAGTGCCCATAATATACTTAAAAGAACACTTTTGCAATGATCCAGTGGTTCAACAACTTTACAGCCCTGAGAGGCTTGATAAATGTTTGTTTAATAGCTGATAACTTATGAGGAACATTTGAACACACTCATCCTAGCACAAGTACATGGTAACACAATTTGTATGAAAAGTAGTGAGTCTGAATATTGCTGATACAATCTCCTAACAGAATATTATTTACACTACGCAGTTCTCAAAATAAACTGCGTGTATGTACTGTACTTCACCTGTGTTGACCCCTCCAGTGAAGATCCAGGCTCCTGTTGTCATGGCAGCCTTGATGAGCCCTTTACCAAAGACCTGTTTAAGTTTGGGCTGTAATTCAAAGTTCTGCAGGCCTCCGTGGACTGAGATGAGCAACTTGGGCAGATCCAGCTGCCACTCCTTGGTCATCAGGTGGAGCAGCAGGTCAGGCTTGGTGTCATAAGACACTCGCACGTACTGAAAACAGTGGGGCGTGTGTCAGTGGTGAATAGTAGCACATCTGCATCACCCTCAGGCACATGATGACCTGAAGTCTGAATGTGCCTCAGACATAAACATATAAACAGAAACACATCTATAAACATATGTGCATTATAAAAGCATTAAATGTGAAATAAACAAAATGGGAATAGATTAGTGTTGCAGATCTGCATGAGTGAGTGTATGCCTTAATTTTTCAAGCTATGACAATATTGAACAGATGTTTGCTATGATTGGAGAACCACATGCATTAAAGAGCATCTGTTTACATATCTAATTCACCCTCAGACACCCTACCTGACAGGTGTATGGATTAGTAGTTTTACACTGGAAATAAATCCGAAAGAATTTAGGCTTAACCATCTGAGTTCCCTGAATGCTACAGTATGTGTGATGTGATTCTGTCATTGTGGTTATCATAGACAGTGACTGTGTGAATAAGATGTACAATCAGACTACTTTTGGGATGGATTGAGAAATCAGGCTTACTTTTTTAAAATATATGTAATTACATATAATTATACTCATTTAATCGATTTTGCTATTCTTCATTTAATATGCTGAATTCTGGCATTCTGCATATCTGTGAAGCCTTTAAATTTGATTATGTAGCCGGTTACAGTGTAATTTGAAGAGAAGCTGGATTGAGGAAGCTACAGAAGGACTCTAGATGAGACCTCATTACATGTCATTTCCATTTGTATTTGAACTCTGTATAAAATGTCTTAAATGACAGAAACACTTGGCAATCAATAGGATATTGTTTTTCACAGCGCTGCTATAATTGTTCCATCCAGATCAAGAGCAGAATTCATTTCTGTCATTTCAAGCATCTAACACGTTCTTCCTCTGTACCTGTGCACTGTCACTCTGCATCAGTTTACTGCAGCTGAGGAAAATATCTACAAATCACATACAATTATTTTGCACTTTCAGCTTTCAGCTTTTACAATCCTCTTCTTACAGTATACTCAGCGAGGAAGACTCAGTCTACTCTATCGTCGACATCTCGTGTTATTTGTCTCCTTGATATCCTTCTACAAATCTCCATTTGTCCATTCTTCACATTTAAATCAAAATCTGGGGGAATGATGCATCTCACTAATACATTCTACCATTTTCAAAACCCTACTTATTCACATGAGCGAGTGCTACCATCTGAGGTCAGAATCAGGTGTAACCAGTTTACTGTTTCTCCTTTTTGTTGTTTGTTCGTGTATTTTTGGACTACTGTTCTCGTTTGCCTTCGAAGTTGACCCGAGCAGCAAGATTGCTGCAGGACACTGACAAATGCAACACAGTAGATTTCTTATCAGAGTCACCATGGCTTTGTTGGAGTGTCCTCCTCCCTGGAACTCAATGGTGCCGAAGGCATCAGTGGGGCTAAGCTGTGTGTGTTTGCTGATCGACCACTTCTCCGACAGGCTGTCATTCTTGGCCAAACGCTCTGCCTTATCATTCTGACTGGATGCGATGCCCGGGGGCAGGCCCACATGCTGACCTATCAGACGACCACAACAGCACCTGGATGAGAGGAGTAAGTGAAAGTGAATGTGAGATAATATATTACACAGTCCTTTACAGAGAGTAAGTGAAATCTTGAGAAGCCAGAGCCCCAAGATACTAAAGCATTGAGAAAGAAAAAGAAGAGGGTGAGAGAGAGATTGTGTGTGACTGAGATAGGTAGAGAAAAGGTGTGAGAGCTGCAATGGTTATGTGCCTAGCAGTAAGAGGAGGGTAAAGCTGAAATTACTTGAGCTGAGCTTGTCATCTGACATTCATCTCCTGATTGGGAGAAACAAATGAGAGCGATCTGCAATCTTGTATTGGCTGTCTCTTTTTGTTTTCAGCTCTTACTTTTTCTCTCCTCTCCTTCACCCTCTCAGCTTCTACAGGAGTTAGCAGAATGACAGTTATGTGAACTGTAGTATTCCTACACCACTACATACTTATTCAAGTGTACTGAATGCAGCTTTTATATTCTGTGTTTCAACCTTACAGGATGGAATGGGAGCCCTGGGAGGAAATGGAGTCAGGAGGCTTTGATTATCACTTCATGTTTCTGTCATCTCTTACCAAAGGTACTTTGCTTCCTTCTGCCTTATGCGTCAGCACAAGTGTTTTTGACTAAAAAGAGAAAACTTGATTTGATCTTGAGGAACATCGGGCTTCCACCCACTTTCCTCAAGTTATGCTAATTATGTTTACCTAACAAACAGTGGCGTTTCCTGTGTGTGTGTAGGTGTGTATGTGTGTGTATGTATAAGGGCCGGTACTGCAGGAATTAGACTTGCCTCTTTGAGTTTGTCACCCTAAGCAACAACATCAGCTGTAGTAAAGCATTCAGTAACGAACCCTTTCACAGTTACACTTTGCTATTCTTAGCAGTACGCTCCTGTGGGCCTAAAATAATAACCTTTTCAAATGATGTGGAATGTTTGACTATCTTCATGAACTGGCCTGGCCCTGAATTTCACATTTGTGGTTTTAAAAAAGTATAATGTCAGTGTTTGGCTCATTAGTGTGGAGCATCTACCTGTGATGTTAATTGAGGCCAGCATGATATTACTCTGAGGCATGTTTTAAAAGGTCAGTAGTCACATTAGCTTACTTGCCCATTAAAGTCTTGTAACTTTTATGGCAAATCAAGCAGCTGAATTTAAAATATTTATAAAACAATCTCCTTATCTCTTACTTCTTCCATAATTCAAAATAAAAAATGACTGACTGGAATAAGAAGGATAATGTAATTTACATGCACTGCAAATACAACCTTAACACACATTCTTACTCACCTATGGGGGTCTTTGGCACTCACTATGATATGAACACATTCTCTCTTGCTGAACGCTCTTTCTATCCACGATTTCTGTGCCTGCAGAAACGAAGACAGAAGAATTCAGTCAGTTGTTGTCAGATAATGAAGCTGTGACCTAAGCATGCAGGAGCGATAGCAACCAGACATTAGAAACTCGAATCGTGAGCAGACTTGTGTTTGACTGAGGAGTTCACCTGTAAAACAAAGGGTTTACTTGTCCTTCAAGAAATAAGAAGGGATTTCTTTGTTGAGTAAAATGATATTGTGATTGTGATGAGTCACGATTAGCAGGAATGATTATTTTGATTATTATCACAATTTGCGTTCACTGAAAAAAACTATTATAATTATGATGATGTGACATTTGTTGGGGTCTGTACCAAATAAACATGTTTTTTTTTTACATCTGTAGAACAGGATTTGTAGGCTAGGGCATCCCTGCAGCACTGCAGTACTTCATTATAATGCTGTTATGTCACAAATCTTACTAATTTACAGCTACTACAATTTGGATATTTCACATGGCCATATTGTGATTTTGATTATATTTCGATTAATTCTGCAGCCCTAGAGCTTTGTTGTATAGAGACTTATCTTCCACATTTCTCTGCAAGCAGCAGTCCAGTTTTGGGGAATGACAAACAGAGGATACACTATGAAATGTTGGATTAATGCCTCAAAAGTACTTAAATAACAATTTAAAGAAAAATCAGCAATTTCACAGCCAGACCTGGTTTAAAGACAGAAATCACAGCACTTTGGGAATGGCATACATACACAAACACAACACACACACACACACACACACACACACACACACAGTAAATGCACAGTCCCCTACACATAATTTAAATGCTGAAGACAAAAATGTTTTATGCTATTCAGCGATGGATGAGATGAAGAACTGCGAAAGAGAAGGGATGTTAAATGCACTGAGGCAGTAAATTATATCAGATTTCCAGTCCTTAGATATTCTTATATACAACCAGCTGAGTGTATGTGTATCCTGTATGAGCAAGTGTGTGTATGTATTTCTATATGTGTGTGCTTTGTGTTCTTTTGTTGCGTACAGTATAGAACATCGGCATAATGTAGCTAGTGGAATAGTGTATTTGTGATACCGTGATGCTCTGCAGCTGTATCTGCTGCAGGTCTGAGACAGACAGAGACTGACTAGAGTCAATTAACATGCTACAGACACGACCAGAAAGGCACTGTAGAGCCACAGAGCATGCCTGAGATACAGATGTGGCACAGGATTAGAGACTAATACACAGATAGATGCATGAATACTTGTTACATGCCAACAAGGATCAATGTACGAGATGAGGCAAAATGTGACATGTACTGCAGGAAACCCTTCTTAGAGCTAATAAGAAAGAGCATCGAATCCAGAGCTATATGATGAACATAAGAAAAATGACTGCTTGTCCCATCTTTGGTTTATTTTTTTAGTTATTTTAGAGATGCTTGCTCAATTTTCTCTTCTTTTTTGCAGCTTCAGTTAAAAGTACTAATGCCTCAAAGTGAGTTTTAACATTTCACCTATTGCGCCATTAAGTTTCTTTAGGTTTGACAAGAGGAAATACATAAACTGCAGCTATTCCTACATCAGATCACAAATAAGGTACTGGTACTCTAAAACCAATGGCTACTTCCACAACACCCTAATGCACTTGGGATTAGTAATGATTAGATTTTAATTTATAGGCAACCACCAAAATCCTGCGAGAACACAAATTCCTTTCGTGTTTATTTACCAAAACAGAAACAGATTCATCTAAAAGAGTGCCTTGGTCATTCATGCTTGAATTCAGACAAGATCGTGGATGGAGCTGTGGTTACTCATTGTTATTGGGCAGTTTTGTTTGTTTTATTTTTTCTACCACTCTCACACATGACGTCAACGGTCTTAAATCCAGGCATAAATATCCGTCATGTTTAAAACAATGACCCACACTGGAACAGACTCAAAAGTAACTTTTATGGCAAATCAAGCAGCTGAATTTAAAATATTTATAAAACAATCTCCCTACCTCTTACTTCTTCCATAATTCAAAATAAAAAAATGACTGTCTGGAATAAGAAGGATAATGTAATTTATCCTTAACAGACTCAGTCTGTTCCAGTGTCTCAGACATTAATCATCACACCTAAATCATATTTATAATCAGTAAAACAATTATGTGTCAATGTGTCCCTGCCTTAAGCAATCAATATCTTTCTTTTTCCCCCTCCTCTCCGTAAAACATGTTTTCATGTGTTGCTGTATGTTAATTAACTATAGAAATATAATCCAGTTCATGCGTATTGCAAACTGTATGATGTACATGTTCTGTTCCTCTGACTATGAGAATGTTACCCTCTGCCATTTAAATGCACTACTTTCCACTCAGCACTTTGTGGTTCAAAGGTTGCACTTCCTGGGTTGCCACCTCCATTCCAGGAAGTGGACTATGTCTAAGTGAGACTTTGTGGCGACAGAGCACAACACCAGAGGTCCAGAATAGGACTGAATATCACAACAAGACAGTCACAGACAACCAAGGGGGACACACTGACCAGACTCCCAAACCCACAGCAGAGGGAACACAACAGCCGTGAAAACAAAAGGACAGAGCTTTTTTTCTGCTTTTTATTCTGGGAGAGCTGCCCCGGCTCTCCTCCCAGCCAGCAGAGCTGAGAGCTGCTTGTACAGGGCTTTCCCCACTGCCACGGCTACAACAACACACGCCCCATCCGCCTGACTGGCCCTGTCACACCATGGCACGCCAAAACCCACCGTAACCGGCCAGAAACAGGCTCGGCCTACACACAGGCACACTTACCCTAACACCAGACTTCCCACGATTAACCATTACTCTGGGGGGCTGGGGGCTGTTTTAGAGATCACCCTGGCCACGATGACTCAGCGGGCCACAACAACGCCCCCAGCCCCATTCTTTCTCTGACATGCTAGAACTGTGTATTCATCCGCCAGCTCATCCTGGGACAAACTAGAGCCGCTCAATGGTAGGAGCAGCAGAGTTTTTTTTTTGATTTAATTCGTATTAAGGGGGCTGATGGCAAAATCACAAACGTTCACGCAAGTTGACGCAAAAAAAGCCTTTTATGTTCTCTAAGTTGAAAGAGGGACCACAGTAGTTTCACCCCAGAGCAACCCAGACGAAGATTTACTTCCCATTGCGACTCGTCTTTTTCCCCTGTCCCTTTCAAATCTGTTTTCCCTTATTTTCTGTGTAGGTATGGTATGCACAGTTTCCGACTTTTCTCTGTGTCATACTGTTGCATCTCTGTCCCTCGCGCTTCCTCTCACGTTCTCTGCTGTTGCTTATGAGATTTGACATGGCATGATGAGATGGCACATGGCCTGCACTCCATTGTGTAATTAAGATTTAGCACCGGGGTGCACTCACACACACAAACACACCAGCTGTATGTTTACGTGTGTGTAAGGAGGGACTGTGCAGCAAGTGAGCAGCATCTGACAACCTGTTAGGGGTCTTGACTCCATTACACTCAAACTCCCCCTACCTCCAGCCTCCAACCTTGTGTCCCTGTCCTCTCTTCCTTTACTATTGTATCTCTTCTTTCTTATTGGCACTGGCAGGGAGCTGAATTGGGAACCATATCCAACAGTCTAATCTCTTTGCTCTCTCTGAATTTTTGACTCAGCTTTTATATGAGCATAGGTGGGCATATAAGTAGCCGGTGGCATTTTTACCATTTTCATATATTAGCTTCTTTGACAAGAGTTTAAAAACGGAAACATAAAAAAAGAGTGATACAAATACTGCTTAGACACTCTCCCTTTGTTTGCCTGGTACCTCTATTCCAAGAAATGATTAAAGCTAAATCATCACCTTTCCTCTTGTGCTGCATTAAATCTTTACCTTCCTGTCTTTTGAACAACTCTTCAATTGCATTTACATTAAATTTGGTTTTACTGCTGTGTCAGCTGCTCTCCCTCTCTGAAGTGAATCTGCTTTTGGTGCACTTTGATTTCATAAGCATCAAGAATGATATCAGACAGTTCAGTAAAATTTTTAGAAAACCAACGTCAGCGGGCAGTGAACACATTCACGATAAATTAGGATGAGATGAAAGTATTACAAAAGATACAGTCTTCTTATGACACATCTGATGCAACTTAAGGGTAAAAGTATTAGTTAAGTCGAGAGTTACAGATAGTGTTAGTGATATTTTTGTAACAATTCTTTTGTTTTATGGTATAAGAAGACAGTATTGCATTTTTGCAGGACTTTCATTCATTTTAAAATAAAGAAATAAATTGAAATAAGAAAAAGACAAAAACCGACCACAGACAGTTATCTTTGAAAAATAGATTATTTCTCAGATAAAGCATTGTCATACATGAGACTCTAAATACACAACCACTAAAAAAAAAGAGACTGAAGATACTCCAATACCTCAAACACAGAACTCTGCATGATGTCTTTCGCTCAAATCTCATAAACAAAGATTCACGAACACAAACGACTCACCTTTAATATGTGATAGGCAGCATTGTTGTGGCCTTCCCTTCATAAGCATGGTTGAAGGTAACGTTAGAGGCATGATCCCACCTTAAAACTAAGATCAATGAACAAAACTGATCAGAGCAAAACTGACTGCCACCTCTCAGTCCACTGGCAACTGGTCTACTCTGGGACTATTAGCACTGCTGGTATGTATGTGTGTGTGTGTGTGTGTGTGTGTGTGTGTGTTCATGGTGCTGAAGGCACACACTGAGAAAGCCCCACACCACTAAACTAACCTATCTCTCAGTCTCCACCCCTGCTACTGGATCCAAACAGCTGTCAGCATACGGAAGCACATTGCATTCACTGGATTAAAAAAAATTTGACACCATACCAGAAAAAATCTTGTAATTACGAGATAAGATAAAGAAAAAGGAAACGTCTGTAAATCCTCTCTCAGTTACGGAAGCACATTGCATGTCAGCCATGTCAGCCCAAGTTTTTTAATTTACTCAATAGAATATATATTTGTAGCGACCCTGCAGTAATGTTTCTTTATATGTTAAATGTTCTGTG